CCACCACCACCACCACCACCGCCGCCACCATTACCGATTTGTCCACACCGTCGCCAGTCTTCTGTTGCTTCGCCACGCTCAATTCCGCCTTAACGATGCATTGCTGTTGCTTGACGAACGGCAGCAGAGAAACCGGCGTCCAGTCGGAGTCGAAGAAACGATCCAGCTGCGACGACCGCAAGTCGGATCGTCGGGTGGTACGCGCGTCGGTAAACTCCTGCGAGACGGTCGAGAGAATCGGCAGGTTCCTTCGAACGTATCTGAGCAAAGGCAACAGGAGAAGGAGGTGCAAGAAGAAGAGAAAGAGTCGGCAACAACAGTCGTACGACGGAGGGGGGACGAGCACGTTGCAAGTAGCAAAGTCCAAGGGACTGGACAGCGCCGCCGATTCCGATCGGAATCGAACGATCCTCGGGGACACGAGGACGGTGGCGCTGGTGTCGTCGCAACTCGGTGTGCTTGCAGCCACCACCACCGAGGACGAGTGGTCCTCCTCGCCACGGAAGAGTGGTGTTCCCTTGCCGATCGGCGCAGTGGCGACGCCGCAGTCGACGTCGTCGTCGCGATCTTACTCGTCGACTTCACCTTCCGCGCTGCATCGTTCCTCGTCGTTGATCACCACCGAGTTTGACCTGTTGGACACGCAGCAGAATCGGCGGAGCTTGCTTCGGTCGCAAAAGACATACAGGAGGCCGAGCAGCACGCACTTTTTCCTGCGAAGAGGGCAAAAAGCGAAAATGAATTCGCAGTCGATCAAGCTCTCTCCAATCTTGGAGTCCGAGTTATCGAAACCCGTGACGCCACGATCCACGCATTCTTCTCTCTCGTCGTACTCGGCCCTCTCTAACCGTTCAGTTTGTTTGACGTCGTCATCTTTGTCGTCGTTTTCGTCGTCGTCTTCGTCGTCGTCGTTGCCTTTCCACGAGAAATGTGAGATCCATCGTATCGAATGACTGTCACTGCGTCCGCTTAAGACGCCATCAGCCTTCGTAAACTGTGTAAACAATCGTTGCGTAAACTTTTTCTTGGTAAACTGAAACGTCGAGAGGAAAAGAAAAAAAAGGGGGGGGGGGAGAATAGTTGTACGAACGTATCACACACAAGTTTACCACCTTTCGTCCTAGATTCAAACTCGTCGTAAAAGCCAAGTAAGTACCGCGAGTGAGTACCACCTCCACTTAAGCTCAATTCTCGAAATTGAGATTATCTCACTCTACGCTACCTTATCCCCCGCGATCTGCCGAAGGAAACGTGACACTCGACACACACACAAGCGATATACCGGGTTATATATTCACATAATTTGCACACGACCTTAACTCGACGTACAACAATTTTTCAAATTAAAAGCATAATTTAACCCATTCACTGCCAGGCAAATTTAGAGCGTTTTGCCAAGATTTTATTTTATTTTATTTAAAACATAGATTTTCACAAAATATAATAATATTTAGTTGCAGATATGCAGTGATGGATTTACACTACGTTTTGTTTTTAATTACTGTAAATCCATTCTAGTACTATATCTGCAACAATAAAAATATTTTAATTTTAGTAATGTGTATACATAATTAATAATTATAACTGAATCGTGCAAGTTATTATTTTGATAAGTAAAGTTTGTTTAAAAAAAATATTGTTTATATAAAATTTTCGTTTATTCTTTCTAACAATTACTAATTCGAACAGCTTTGTAAATTTATACCTATTGTAAGTTTATACCGTGACGAATTGCAACCAAAACCTAAGCTTGTAGCGCAAAGTACGAGATATCTCGTAGTGAATGGGTTAAAAGTTACTTTAAGTGTGCAAATTATGTGAATCACATTGGCGGTATTGACACCGATATTGATACCTGGTTACATCGTGTACGTAACGGCTGTCTTTCTTCTTCGAGCAGAATTCGGTGAAAAAAAGAAACAATTAATAATTCTGCTGGCTTTAACTGAAAAACTAATCGATCATTTCTCCTTTACGTGTATACTCATGATCGTCGTATATATTTGCGTAGATGTCGTCAGTTTCAGCGAAAGCGTCTGATCAGCAAACTGCGACAGATTCTACGACAGGCGGCGAGAGGAATATCTGGAGAGATGTACTGGGTTCTCCACGATACGTAGTGGCACCTATGGTCGACGCGAGCGAATTAGCGTGGAGGCTGTTGAGCCGTCATCACGGTGCCCATCTCTGTTACACGCCGATGCTTCATTCCTCGGTGTTCTGTCGAGATCCGAAATATCGTCGAGAAGCTCTCGTCAGTACTGCCGAAGATCGGCCCCTGATCGTTCAGGTATTTATTCGTCAGTTTTATCGATTAGACAAACGTCAATCGACAAATTCAATCGTGCGCAGTAAAGTCTTTGTTCTTTCCACTCTCTGTGGACGATCGACAGAGACGATCTCAACAGAGACAGATGATAGATCAGTCTTCACACAGCTTCGATTTCGTTTGTCTCTTCACACACAGTTTTGCGGCAACGATCCGAGCACGCTGTTGGAGGCGGCGCTTTTAGCCGAACCGTATTGCGACGCGGTGGATATAAATATCGGTTGTCCCCAAGCTATTGCGAAACGTGGCCGCTACGGTGCTTACCTTCAAGACGATTGGCATTTGCTTCGACAAATCGGTTTGTAAGCAGTCTTACTTACTCTACATTGCAGCCTTGTCTTTTACCATTCGCCCTTAATTTTTTATTAGTTTAATGTTCTTGCCAAATATTGCAGTGAGCACATTGAGCGAAAGACTTGGCGTGCCGGTAACTTGCAAGCTTCGCGTGTTTGCGGAGATTGATAAAACCGTGGAGTACGCGAGGATGCTGGAGACTGCCGGGGCACGATTGCTCACCGTGCACGGACGAACTCGGGAGCAAAAGGGTCCGTTAACCGGTGTTGCGTCTTGGAATCACATCAAAGCCGTCAGGTAACGACGATTAACAACGATTCGTCATGTTTTCCTTTTCTCTTCTCTTCGTCCTGTGTGTCCTTATCAACGTTTTCAACGTTCGCAGACAGGCGGTGAAAATCCCAGTATTTGCAAATGGCAATATACAGTGCCTTCAAGATGTCGAGAAATGCATAGAGGAAACCGGCGTTGACGGTGTGATGTCGGCGGAAGGCAACCTTTACAATCCGTACATATTCGAAGCGAGTTATCCACCTAGTTGGGAGCCAGCGCTCGAATATTTAGATTTGGTGGAACGTTACCCGGCTCCCCCTTCCTACATTCGTGGCCATCTGTTTAAATTGTTCCAACACACGTACGTGTGAAAAACCAATCAGTTTTTAAACTTCCTTCCTTCTTTCCATTTGCAGTCGATATGCACGCAGAATGAACAGAAAAAAGGATTCGTACTGTCTAGGCTAGATAGAGTAGCTCGCCAAACTGTGAACGTGAAAGAAAGTTCTGTATAATAAACATGGGTCGAAAAATTAATAGTTGTAAACGACCTTTTGTTTCGGTCGAAGCGAACCAACTTATTCGAGAGCTCTGTCGTAGCTACTGTACGTAGCTTTTCTACGTATCCTTCCCATTTTTATGCATGCTTCGATCACTTTGTATTGAAGAATTACGTGGAAACTCTTTCAAAGATGTGTTCCAACTTTTTCACAAGCATTTCAACCGAAAAAAAAAA